GTCCATCATGTTCCTAATCTGAAGAAGAATTTGATTTCCCTAGGTACTTTGGATAAACAAGGCTAAAAGTACATGAGTGAAGAAGGAACTATGAAAGTGACTAAAGGGTCTTTAGTCATCCTGAAGGCAAGCTGGAGGATGACCTCTACACACTTGCGAGAAGCACCATTATTGGCTCTGTAAATGCATCTACAGTGCAGTTATCTATGACAAAGCAAAATTATGGCACATGAGACTAGGTCATATGAGTGCATGAGGGCTGGAGATGTTGAGCAACCGCAACCTTTTAAATGGTGAGAAGATTAACACACTTGAATTTTGTGAGCATTGTGTCTTAGGAAAGCAGGAAAAGGTCAGCTTCAATACTGGCAAGCACAAGATGGGAGAGGTGCTAGACTACATCCATTCAAATTTATGGGGTCCTTTTAAGCTTCCATCGACTGGAGGAAAGAGGTATCTTCTCACATTCGTTGATGATTTTTCACAAAAGGTTTGGGTGTGTTTCTTGAAGGCAAAAGGTGATGCTTTTGAAGCATTTAAAGAGTGGAAGATTTTGGTTGAAAATCAAACGGAAAGAAAAATCAAGTATCTTCGCACAGACAATGGCTTGGAGTTTTGCAGTGAAGAGTTCAATGATTTCTACAAGGTTCATGGGATCGCAAGACATAAGACGGCCAGGTACACACCACAGCAGAATGGAGTTGCCGAGAGAATGAACAGAACTCTTCTTGAGAAGGCTCGTTGTATGCTCTTACAAGCCAAGATGTCTAAAGTATTTTGGGCTGAAGCAGTTCATACTGCTTCTCATTTTGTCAATCGATCTCCAACATCATCAATTGACTTTAAAACTCCGAATGAAGTATGGTCAGGTGAACCCTTTAACTATTCATACTTGCGAATATTTGGGTGTCCAGCTGATTATCATGTTAATGAAGGAAAGCATGAACCAAGGACTAAGAAGGCCATATTCGTAGGGTATGTAGATGGAGTAAAAGGGTACAAACTTTGGTGTTTGTCTTTACTCAAATTTGTAGTTAGTAGAGATGTTACCTTTGATGAATTCGCTATACTTGATCCTCGTAAAGTTTATGTGGAGTTATCAAGAAATGAGAACAACGAGCTGGTGGAGCTGCCAGTGGAGCTTACCAAGGAACGGGATCAAGAGACTCACATTGATGAGTCAAAAGATGCTGATCTTGAAGAACTTGTTGTCAATGAACCACACACAATTGCGATGGAAAGGGATAAAAGACAAATACGAAAACCAGTGAGCAAGAAAATATGATTGCATATGCGTTCGTAGCTGTAGAAGAAGAGATTACGGATCTCAAGCCCTCCTCATATGTTGAAGTAACTTCTTGTAAGGATGTTGCACAATGAAAGTTAGCCATGATGGAAGAGATGGAGTCTCTTCACAAAAATGAGACATGGGTCTTAGTTAAAAGGCCAAAGGGGAAGAGGACAGTTGGATGCAAATGGGTCTACAAAAAGAAAGAGGGTATTCTAGAAGTAGAATATGTTAAATTCAAGGCGAGATTGGTTGTAAAGGGTTTCAGCCAGAAGGAGGGAGTCGACTACAATGAGATTTTCTCTCCAGTCGTGAAACATAGCTCAATTTACGTGCTACTAGCATTAGTTACACAATTTGATTTAGAGCTTCAACAACTTGATGTCAAAACTGCTTTCTTACATGGTGATCTAAAAGAGACAATCTATATGGATCAGCCTGAAGGTTTCCTAGCTGGAGAAAAAGAAGATCATATATGCCAACTGAAGAAGTCTTTGTATGGTTTGAAGCAATCCCCTAGACAGTGGTACAAGAGGTTTGATGCATTCATGACTAAACATAAATTTTCAAGGAGTGCATCTAATAGTTATGTGTATCACAAGAAGATGTATGGTAACTCTATGATTTATCTATTGTTGTATGTTGATGATATACTTTTTGCTACTGTTGAGCAAGGAAATTGACATGAATAATTTGAGAGTTGCAAAGAAAATCCTTGAAATGGAGATTTCAAGAGAAAATGGTGTTGTACATCTTTCTCAGACGAGGTACATCGAAAAGGTTCTAAAGAGATTCAATATTCATATGAGCAAGCATGTAAGTACACCGTTAGCTTCTCATTTCAAACTTTCAGAGTTAAAAATGCCTCAATCTATGAGGTGGAGCATATGTCAAAGGTTCCTTATGCGAGAGCAGTTGACATCATTATGTATGCTATGGTGTACACATATCCAGATATTGCTCAATCTGTAAGTGTGGTAAGCAGGTATATGGCAAATTCAGGAAAAAGGCATTGGGAAGCTGTTAAGTGGATATTGAGATATCTCAAAGCAGCTCCTGATGTTGGCCTAATCTTTCAAAAAAGTGAAGGTATTTCCATTCTTGATTATGTAGATTTTGACTATTTAGGGGATCTTAATAAAATGAGGTCCACAGCTAGATACATCTTTATTCTCGTTGGCAGTGCCGTTAGTTGGAAATCGACTTTACAGTCGATTGTCGCTTTGTTGACAACAGAGGCAGAATATATGGCAGCAATGGAAGCAGTGAAAGAAGATATCTAGTTGAAAGGTTTGGTGGCAGAATTGAGTTTGGTTCAACGGGAATCAATTCTAAGATGTGATAGTCAAAGTGCTATTCATTTGATTAAAAACTAAAGATTTCATGAGCGCACCAAACACATTGATGTTAGATTCCATTTCATTTGAGATGTGGTTGAAGAGAGAGATATTAAGGTTGAGAATTTGTCACAAACGATAACGTTGCAGACATGTTGACCAAGATAGTCCTGCTTGCCAAATTTGCACACTGCAAGAACTTGGCGGGAGTATGCATCAACTGATGCAACTCCAGGGGAACAACTGCTAGGTGGAGCTAGTAAGTTCAACGAATGTTTGATTCTTCTTGTTTCTTACTATGGGATTGTCCAGTAAGCTTAAAAGTTTTGGTCGGAGTTGTTTATACGCATGCTCGAAACGCAAATCAAGGTGGAGAATGAAAAAGTTGGTTTGGTTTTTGTGGAATCAAATACAATGGAAGACTAATTAATATGAAGATTTGGTAGGACGATAATTTTTTATTTAGTACAAAATAAAAGTCAAGATAGTATTTTGATATGTGAAATTTAAGTAAACCATAAAATGGTTTTATATGTTTAATCTTGAGATTTTGACACATAGTAATGTCATGGATGACATCAATAGGAAGAATTCATTCCTCTAAATAGGTAGCTCTTAGTTTATTTTCAAGATATCCTCTCACTTGCATTCTCACCTTCTAAGGCATTTGATCTTCTCTCTGTTGTAGTATTTCATTTGTACTCTTTTGGAGTGAAATAAATATTGGTGCAGTTGTTCTCCGATGGACGTAGGATCATTCTGATCCGAACCATGTTAAATATTGTTGTTCTTCCTTGTTCTTTAATTTTACGTTTTCGCTAACATATGGAAATAGAAGAACATGGCTATTTAAAAATTTCCAAAAGTTAAATATTTGAATTATTTTATTTTCTTAATATTTAATTTCTTACGTGTTATTGAAAAATAACATGGAATTACACATGCAAGAGGTTGGATTACACACACAATGATTTGATGAGAAAATGTTTTAAAATATTTTGTTTTTTGATTTAAAAGTTTAGTTGACAAAGTGTTGAATATGAGGGTTCAGAATATAAACGCATACAAATATAAGAGTTCAGACTATTTCACCTTTTTTTTTAAAACGAACTAAAGCGAAAAGTCATTATTTTTTAAATGGCGGAGAATATTTTGTTATGAGTGCGATAAAATTTATTTATTAATTAACTAAAATAAAGTAGTCATTAGATACCTTTGGTGGCATTCATACAAGCATGCCACGTTTCTTGCCAAATAGCCAAAGAAACTTGGGTCCCACCCATTACAAGCACTCGGTTGTGGGCCCCATAATGTAATGGTCCTGTTTAAAGTGGAAAAAAATGTATGCCACCTGGCATCTGTTTGCCTGCACTACTAACGTAGCAATCTGCCAACACAGACACCTGACTGACTACTCTTTTGTTGTTTGTACTCCCTCCGTCCCTTTTTAGTTGTCCACTTTAAAAATGACACACAGATTAAGGCAACAATGATTAGCACAGTGAAGTTACAATTTTACCCTTATGACAACCTTTCTCTTCAAAATTACAACCACTTCTTTGAATTCAAGTGAAATAAATTGGAGGGAAACAACATACACTTTTACAATTTTCAAGAAGTGTAAATAAATGTATAATAGGAAAAAATTTGTTGTCCTTTCTTGATTTGTCAAAATGGACAACTAAATAGGGACAACTAAAAAAGGAAATATGGACAACTAAATAGGGACGGAGGGAGTATTTGATTTTCATAAACCGGATAAAGTTTGCTTTTGCCCCTTTCTTGCTTCTTTTTCTTTTACTCTAAAGGCCCTAAACATAAATAAAAACTTTCTAATAGACCCCAAATGGATAAAGTAATACGACACAATAAATAAGGAGTAACACATTTTTTTTTTATAAATATATTGAATACCATATGCGCTATTAGTTTTCTTTCTATTACATGTATCAAGTATCAAGTAAAATACAATAAATAAGGAGTAACACATTTGTAATATAATACTATATTAATTTATATCATTTCATTTAAATAGATATAATTTGTATTTTAACATCAAGAGTTATTTTTTTCCGTAATATTATATATAATAATAATTTTTTTTTTTAAAAAAAGAGTAAGGACGAAGTATATATAAAGGGTGTGGGTGAAAGAAACATATTGATAAAAATTGAGGGAGTGAGTGACGTGGAAAAAAGAAATGAGAGATCCAAATGGCAAGATGGTCTGAAACGGTCCGTTACACATCGCTTTTATTTATTTGCTCAATTTTCCACACACCTCTCAGCTCACCGCTTCCCCCAACTATACATCCTTTATATATATATTCTCCCAAAAGAAAGAAACCCAATTTTGTACTCAACAGTTATGGAAGAGGAGACAATGAGAGAGGATAAAACCATGGTGATTGATGTGAATGAGAATGAGAAGAATGTTAATGGTGGAGTAGTACTAGAGGTGAAAGAAGAACCAGTTATATTTATTGATGAAGATGACATTATTGGGGATTTTACTTGTTCATTGCCAAAGCCTTTGGATGGGTTACGTGATGTAGGTCCACCTCCGTTTTTGAAGAAGACGTTTGAAATGGTGGATGATCCAAATACAGACTCTATAATCTCATGGAGTAACAATCAAAACAGCTTTGTTGTTTGGGATCCTCACAAATTTTCAATTCATCTTCTACCTAAACACTTTAAGCACAACAACTTCTCTAGCTTTATCCGCCAGCTTAATACCTATGTAAGTTGGCCTTTTTTGCTTAATTAATCAACTACAATTTGTACTTGATCAGTATCTGCTTGTTCTAATTTTGAAAGTAAACTCAATTTTCTTTTGTGAATTTGTAATTTGGGTGTACCTAGAATTTGTTGAATTTTATAATGACGATGCCAAAGGTTAATAATTGGGTTTTAAAATTCAATAATTGCAAAAGTAATCGGGTTTGTAGCTAGTTCCGTTCACTGTTTTTTTTGTTAATTTGTATTTGATTATGGTGTTTTTTTTAACATTTTGAGTTTGTGGGTTTGTAGCGTTTCAGGAAAATTGATTCAGATAGATGGGAATTTGCGAATGAGGGTTTTCAGAAAGGGAAGAAGCATTTGCTGGTAAATATCAAGAGAAGAAAGCAGTATCCTCAACAAGGAGGAGGAGGAGGAGGAGGAGGAGCAGCAAAATCTTGGGTAGGAGGTTGTTGCAAGGATGGAACTGAAGCGGCGGAGATAGAAAAGCTGAAAAAGGATCACAACACATTGAAAATGGAAATTCTGAAGCTAAAACAACAACAAGAGAGCACTGATACGTATTTAGCTACTATGAAGGAGAGGTTACAGAACAGTGAAACTAAACAAAAATATATGGTGATCTTCATGGCGAAAACGTTCAACAACCCTATGTTTGTTCAACATCTGATTGAGAAGATGAAACAGGGGGGGAAGACTACAACGGTAGAGAATGGGACCAAAAAGAGAAGGTTGTGTAGTGATGAAAATCAAGAGGAGTACACAACAATTAAGTCGGAGATACAAACACTTTTCTCTTGTGATGAATCATCGAACAGTCCAGTTGAGGAACAAAAAGGTAAGGGAAATAATAACAGCAGCCCAGAGATGGTATCTGAGAACTATATATTGTGGGAGAAGCTGATGGAAGATGACATGATTTGTGAGAATGGAGCAGAAACAGATAAGTATCAAAGTGAGATAGTTCTTGAACTTGAGGATTTGATCTCTAACCCATCCGAGTGCAAGTGTATGCCTTAAATTAGCGATGGTCCAACAACTAGTTAGCATAAGAAGATCACAATGAATGTTTATCAGTTGGTAGTAACTAACAATGTATAAAGGTTTTTACAGAAGATGAAGAAAACAAATTAGTTTGATAGGGGTTTGGTGCAGCAGAGGAGAATATTAATATTAATGTAGAACCAGAATATGAATGTTAGTTTCATGCATATATAATATGGTCTTTTCTTCCTGCTTTAGCAGTACTAATACAGTTTCTCACCTTTGATGTATATATGTAGTTGGTCTCCCTCCCACCTTATTTGTTACCCTCCATTATTGAGGGGATGTTATTTAATCGATAAACGTTGGAGAAATTAAATGAAATAATTTTCCACAAAATGATTCTGCAAAGGTTTTAGGTTATACTATACAATTGATGATGTTTTCCACAATATGGTTCTGCAAAGCAGTTTCTGTTTCCGAGGGTTGAGGCTGCATTGGTGCGGGATGAGGTCCCTCATACTTGGAAAAGAGGGTGAGGCTGCATTCATCCCCCTCATGGAAAAGAGGGTTGAGGCTGCATTGGTGCGGGATAAGGTCCCTCATACTTGGAAAAGAGGGTTGAGGCCGCATTGGTGCGGGATAAGATCCCTCATACTTCTGGCTCGGAAGCCTAAACTCAAAAGACGCATTGGAATGCAGGATGGGGTCCCTCATATACTTCTGGCTTCTTTAACCATCCCGGGGCCATCCAGAGGCATAAGAAAAGTAACGGAACTTGAATTTTTTTAACACGTACTGCAATAAAATGTAAAATATTGGACCTCCTTTATGTTATGTGTTGCATTTTTATTTGTGAATTATTCACTTATTTTTTAATAAATAATTTTTTGTTGTTACTTAAAAATTAGTACATAGTTGTTGAATTTCCCATATCTAATTTAAAGTTGATTCTACATTTTCGAGTGTTTCAAATTTCAAATAAAGTGTTCTGTTTCCTCCTTTTTTTAGAAAAAGTATAATCAAAGATAATTCATCTTATCCAACTTCATAAATTTCAAAAAAAAAAAAAAAACTCTTTGTTTTTTATTTGTTGTTCATCTTACTATCATAAATGTCATTTATTCAATTTTCTCTACTATAAATAGTCATCTCAAATCACTCTCTTTGTTCATTCTTGTCTACTATTTCAAAAACAATTTCTTATTTTTACTCTGTCACTTTAACATATTAAGTATAAATAATTTTAGTGATTTTGAAATCACTAAGAAAATGGTTTGTAACATGTATATTAAGGGTTGAGAGATACATGTGTATTTTTTTATGATAATGTTGCCATTCAGTTATTTTTTTTTTTCCCACTTATATAACCGCTTTGTGATCCAATTAATTTAAATTTGAATTTGCACAAAAGAGTTTCATTTTGAGGTTAAAGTGCTCTCCACCAAATCCAAAGAACTTCCGGAACAAAGAGTTCGAATTGAAGAATACTTATCATCTCATCACAGGCTAGAGCCTAGCCTAGAATTTCAGGCATAGTAAATTAGAAGTAACTTGGAGAATAATGAGCCAAGTCAGTAATAGCAGACAAGATAGGTGCCTGTTCCCTAATTTTTGACATTATGAATAATCTGTAATCCTATCTTTTAGCCTATTCCAGAATGATACAACTGTATGGCTTTAAAATGCAGCAACCTTTTAACTGGAAACTTCAGCCAAAACCATACATGAAGTGTGTAAATTAGAGCCACAAAATCAACAATTATTAGTCATTAACTCATAATAATAATAATAATATTAACAATTGTTACATATCTTATCTTCTAGGTTTTGTGGGGGGGGGAGGGTCCCATTTGCCAAAAGGAGCAAGTGACCAGATTAATCATGGACATAATGCCTTTCTAGATCCTGTCACCTTTCCAAAAAGAGTAGAAGCCAAATCTCAACTGCAATACCTACGTGTTCTCACCTTCTCCTTTTATTTTGTTTATTTTTTCACTTTCAAATGATTGCTTCTCAACTAGTAATAAAATTTAAATCTTTTTTTCACAATACAAGTTTATGGTACATGTGTTTGTATGTATAACGCATCAAATGATGAAAAGAAAAAAAGAGTCCTATGTTTCTTCCTCATATCTCCTAATACAAAATCTATTTCCTAAAAGGGAGATTATTGGGCTTATCTGCTCCCTTAGATGTAGAGGAACAAGATGAGGACATGTTAGTCTTAGCAAATTCTTCTTTATCCTCCGTGAATGCTTTAGACAAAATTTCTTGAAGTTCCATGTACCTTTGCTTCTTCAGTTGACGCTCTTCTGCTGTATCATTCCCCATGTAAGCTATCTCAGACAAGTCATCAGCATCCATGATCTTATTTAGAACTTCTGAACAACGTGGAAAGAACCGTTTTCCAAGTTCCACTGCAAGTACACGACGCTTTATTTTCAACCACACCAGGACTTTAAAGCTCAAGATTCAGAAATTCAAATGCTTAATGTAGCAATGTTTGCTTGGACCAAAAGACAAAATGGGCTGGAAGTAGAAAAATGCTTGGGGGAGGAGATGGGGAAGAATAAAGTGATTTTGTTTTACTCCATTCAGTATACAATCAAGCAGCCTAATTGTTTTCAGGAAGTAAAGAGAACATTTTGACCCTGAAATTGCTCTAGTCCATTTATATCATATAGGGAGAATATGACTTTCTGATACCCCTCCCCCCCCCCCCCCCCCCACCCACACACACACCACCACAAGAATCAAATATAATAAAAATCAGAAAAAGAGGGAAACCACTGGGCTCAAAATTCATATGCTAAGAGTACACAGATCAAGATAGAAAAAGCGAGAAACATAAAGAATGAGGATTTGGTGATATATGTAGCTGAAAATATCTTTACCAGTTCTAGAGAGAGCCCTAAGCCGATTCAAATGCTCCTCTTTCATCTTGAAAGGAGCCTCATTCAAATCCACCGTTGTCCTCTGTGCATCAGCTATCTTCTTCCTCATGCTAGCCAGGGGGAATTCAGACGTGCCATCAACTTGAGCAATGTCCATTGCAACTTTTGCTTCCATGGGAAAAAGGAGTTTAGCCAGACCAACTGAAAGACAATCAACTAGTCAATCTTCAGTATAATGGTTTACTATTTCCTTTTCACTAAAACAAATAGTTCATTAACCATAATCAAAGGTCATTTGACCACCCACCCATTAAAGGACAACTTTGTGACCTCCTTTGGAAATGAAAGAACATCTCCTTTATAAAAAAAAAGGTAAAATAGGTCTAATTTAAGTATATCAAACATAAGCAGCATCCGTTCTGCAAACATTAAGAATATCCTTTATAAGGTCGGAGTGAAACTGTTAAGTTTTCCTTCCAAACTAGTAACATTGGGACTTGTGAGTTACACATTTTAAATGAAGTTGGGCTAGTTCCAAATAATGTTGCTTGGATTCTCCGGATCCTCCAAAAGTAATCGTTTTGGAAGGATTTGACATGGGTGCAACAATAATTTTGGAGAGTCCGAGCAACAAAGGTTCCAAACTATTATCCCTGCAACCCCACTTCCCCCAGGACTAAAATAACCCCCCTCATTTAAAAATATGATAAATGTAACAGAAATTAGGAAATGATAATAAATTCTGAAAGGAGAAACTGAAGAGAGTAAATTTCATTTATCTGCCCTTCTTTATGTTTCATAGGTATGGAAGAGAAAGAAGACGATAAGTAGATAACAATGAAAAAGTAACACAAACTGACAGTGAAGAGTGTGAAGTTGTTGATTTTTAGAATGTTAAAGTTCCTAAATTAGATATCATTTCCCATAGGACAAACATCATGTTTAATCTACCTGACACCTACAAATAGGAATCTTGAATTTACCATATCATCAAGACATTACATTTTCTCTCTATTTCTCGCAGGGTATCAAAGCTCAATAAAACATATCAAACAAATGAAAGAAGCCACAAGACATTTAGAGAAAAGAAAAAATAGAGAAAGGGTCTGAAAGTGATAAAAAGTGAATTAGGAGATCTGACTGAATTTGATGAAAAATGGCCGGAAAGAGGCAGTGCCATCGAAATAGGTACCCCAGCAGAACAATCACCAGAAAAAGCACAGTGCCATCAGCCCAATCAGCAAAAATAGGCAGGGAATTGAAAAGAACCACCATGCTATCTTAACAACCAATGAAAGGAGTGCAATACTACCAAAGGGTCATTTAAAATGCATGTTGTGCGCTCAAATGGTCCTAAAAAACTAGGAGTAATACTGCTAAAGAGGCCGTTCAGAAGGGCCAGAACAGTAAAGTTATGAAAAGTAAAAGAAACTTTGGCTGGATTTGCATCATAAGGCCAACCTCTACTATGTGGGAGGTGAATTTTAGTCTGCATTAAGATATCGTAGAAGCTCTAATACCATGTGTTTATGAACTAGCCAAAGATGTATTGCTTAATAGACATTTCATGAATACAAGACGGCTACTACTCCAACAATTATCCCATAACTATTTATTTTTCTCTGTTTTAAAATAAATTATCTTTCAGAAATAGCCTCTCTACCTCCATGAGGTAGTGGTAAGGTCTGCGTACACTCTACCCTCCCCACCCTCCCCAGACCCCACCTAGTGGGATTTCATTGGGTATGTTGTTGTTGTTTTAAAATAGGCAAGTTCATTTTGGTCTCTATTTTTAGTTTGTGGGGTGCATCAGAATGTTTAATGTTAGTGTTTGAATGCCAAAGTTAGAATAGTTGAAGTAATAAGTTCTTAAGTAAAATATTATCTCATATCTGACAAATATCAAATTATAAGGGTAAGGTCTGCATACACTCTACACTCCCCAGACCCCACTTGTGGGATTACACTAGGTATGTTGTTGAAGGAAGGAGAAAAAGAAGGATAAGGAAGGGAAAGTGAAATCGGTTGTTTTTTCTTATTTTAGCAATTATCTTAGTTTAGAAGGAAAAATAACCTTGCACTTCAGGCCATAACCTTGAGCAAGTTTTGTATATTATCACAAAATGTCAAGGATATCATGCGTCACAAATTTAAACTATGAGAAGAAAACCATATGGCACCTTTAAAAATTTCCTGACAAATGTATCACCTGTTTTTGCTTAAAAGGGATTAATTTATTTTACCTTTAAACATAATGGAGATGCTTGGAGGCTAAAGGTGTACTTGTGGCGTGCACTAAGGCAATCAAAGACATGTATAATAGAGCCAAAACCCGACTAAGGACAACAGGAGGTGACCCAGAGCACTTCCCTAGTGTGATGGGGTTGCATCAGCGATCAACTCTTAGCCCGTTCTTGTTTGTGTTAATGATGGATGAATTGATATGGCATATCCAAGGAGAGGTGCCATGGCATATGTTATTTGCAGGTGACATTTCTGATTGACGGGACCCGGAACGGAGTTAATGCTAAGCTGGAGGTTTGGAGGAACACCTTGGAGTCTAAAGGGTTCAAATTGAGTAGAACCAAGACAGGATACTTGGAGTGAAAGTTCAGTGATGTAATGCATGAGGCTGGCATGGAAGTGAATCTCGATACACATGTCATTCAAAAGAGAGAAAGTTTCAAGTATCTTGGGTTTATTATCCAAAGGAAATGGGGAGATTGACAATGATGTCACATGTCGTATTAGTGCAAGGTGAATGAAATAGAGGATTGCATCCGAAGTCTTGTGTGATAAGAAGGTACTCCCAAAACTTAAAGGCACTATAGAGCAGTGGTTAGACCGACTATGTTGTATGGGCTGGAGGGTTGGCCGATCAAGAACTCCCACGTTTAGAAGATGAAAGTTGTGAAGATGAGGACGCTGAGATGGATGTGTGGGCATACTAGGATGGAAAAAGCATGATACAATGACAAATGCTATTCTCGAAGAGAGTTGGATGGACAATAAGCTGAAACAAATATTTCTTCTAAATTAAGTATGGACAATAAACAGAAACAGAATGTTCTTAACAATAATTTCATATAGGGAAGCAAATTAAAGAGACTCATCCCAACGTATCGGGATAATCATCAGAATGGGCTTAGGAATGGTAAAAGATGGGAGTGTGAGTAATGCAACATAGAGAGCAAAAAGTTCTTCATCATGAGATCACAAATGAATTTATAGCAAACTGGGAGATCTATAACATACGAGGGGGAAAAGAGAGACATAAGGTCATCCGTTATCAAATTAAAGAAAGAAGAAAAAAATGGAGGGACATAAGGTCAATCCTAATACCAGACTTGAGTTGAAGCAGGTGGGGGTGAATTGTCTGCACTTTTAACAGAACATTACCTCCCCATTCCTTGGACATGGATAAATGTCTAAAGCTAGAGTGAGAGAGTAGAGGGATGAAGATTATCAAACAAAGAAACCACCCCGATTCATAGGTACTGACCTCGCAATCGTGAATTGCATGCAACATGATATGTATCCTACGCTACTTCTAGATTAAGAAAAGCATATCTTCAAGTTTTCTTCCCACCCATCCCCTGCATACTATATGAAGAATTCTATAGGGTAACTGAGAAATATTAAACTATAGCATATCTCATCCTTCATTTGTTATGACACTACAGTATATGTCATCCTCCATGTGTCGTTACATAGTAGTATAACTCATCCTCAATTTGTTCTCCATTAGACATATCAAAATATCACTTAAAACTTCCATAGCAAATAATACTGGTCATTAAATATGAAATTCTAATGATAGGCTGTCAGAAGAGGAGCAGGAGCAAACTATGTGGAAGATCATATACAATGGCCTGGATCTTAAAAAACAAGAGTATAACTATAAGAGAAGTAAGCAGAAACATGACATCCTACCTCTATTTTCAAGGTATAACAGCTTCATACGCAAATCATCGCCTGCCATAGCAAGAGATAATGAAGCTTCTCCTAGTAGTGGATCTCTTCTTTCTGCTTGCTCCAGAATCTCAATGCATAACCGATCCTTTGGAGCAGATTTTCCTTCCGCTGTAGACTTGGTAAAATCTACAAGCCTAGTGAGCCTCTTAGCAATTTGAAGTGCCTTTTTGCCATCAGATGTCAGATCAGAAGGTCTAGCTCCTTTGGTTAAAAGGGACACTATAATTTTAGGCTCTTTCCTCATGGCAGCAACATGAAGTACCGTGTATCCTCTAGGATTTTGATGATTAACATCGGCAAGTGAAAGATCTAAAAGTTCTGCTGTAGTCTTTGCATCGCAATATGCTACAGCATAGTGGAGAGCATATGCATCATCGAGAGTAGTATGCCCCTCTTTAAGCAACATCCTTAGTAACTCAACATCATCAGAGTCCAATGCCCTATGTATCCTCTTAACATGTTTATCAGGAAAACCATTGCTTTCAGGCCCTTGTAGACCAAGTTCAGCACGTGAATCAGTGATTTGTTTTACGATGTCATGAGGCAAGGACTTATCAAGGGTTATGATATCAACATTAGACTTGACAATAATCTCAATGCAGCTTGAAAGCAATCTTTCACATGCTTTACCGCAAATGTTTGCAACGGATAAAACCATCATTACATCGTCTGCTGCAGCTTTGTCAAGAATATCCAATAGGTGTCTCTGCAAAGGAAAGGAAACATGCAATGTAACATTAGGAAAGATATATTAGTCGCCAGTACAGTTAGTAGTGTAGTAATGCATACATGATAAATCGTGATAACTAAGGAATTTCACAAGAAACTGACTTGTCAACAACATATATCGCATGATCGCAAAGTGAATAAGGTTTTGCTAAGTGTCCTTCTATTAATCTAACTGAGAAAAGATATAATGTTCCCCAATTTTACGTAAGGAGATTCATAACCTGTTTGACCAAACTTCTAAAATCTGCTTATGTTGAGAAGTGTTTTTTGTCAGAAGTACTTTTCGACACGAGAAAGTACTTTTGGAGAGTAGCATTTTGTGTTTGGCAAATCATTGTGAAAACCATTTTTGCCAATATAAGATCAGAAAATTGTGCTTGGCCATGGTTCCAAAAATGCTTCTTGGGAAAAGCGGCATTTTTAGCTTTTCAATATACAACTCCTGCTACTACTCAAAATCACTTATCTTTTTTCCTAAAAGATTAGTCAAACCTCTCAATTCTCTAAAATAAGAACTTCTCTTTTAACAAAAAACACTTTCGGCTTTGCAGAAACTTGGCCAAATTGGCTATCGGTCGTAGATGTGTGCCTCAACACACATGGCTGTTTTTTCTATAAAGAAATAATGCCGTCATACAGAGCAATATAATCCCTCATTCTTTCCCACAAAAGGCAATCTAAAACCGACCCTTTTATTAATGAAGATGGAATGTCAACTAATAACTAATCTGGAAGACAATTAACACCATTAGGGGCCGTTTGGTTACTGTATAAGAAGGCATGTTATTCATGTATAAAACATTGTATTTGTTTTACTATGTTTGGTAAAAGTTTTTTATTAGGTTGAAAAGTCAACATGACTTATACTATGTTTGGTTGAGAAGTTCTGAATATTGTATAAAAGTTATTCATGTATTAATTTTATATAGTGTTTGGTTGCGTTTTTTGTAATCCTACATAATTAATACCTACATAACTTGTGAGGGAATCTATGTATAAGTTATGCAAGATAGAAGGTGGAATAAGTTATGTGGGTATTAGTTATACATGTATTAAAAAGATAAATTACACACTTATCCCTATTAATTTATTTTTAAATCTTTTTTTATTGAAAATTTTACATAGCTATTCTATTTTCCCAAGTATTTTTGTTTCTTATTTCTTTTTGTATACAAATGACTTTTTATTTGTTTTCATTTAAAATCAAAATATAAATATTTATTAATATTATGAATAGGAATGTATAATTTTGATAGCGCATATGCTAATTATATATTTGCATTATATATTACTAAATATATCCACATATTTAATTATCATGTATTAATTTTTTATTTAGAATGTGAATTTATATATAATTTATATATTTGGTATACTAAAAATGTACAAACAACACATGCATCATATTGACAGAAATTTACATTATATAAAATAGGATAGTATAATGTACTTGAAATATATTAATAGTAGTTTATTTTTATAAGCTTTAAACATTAAAAAAACAAAGAGAAAATAACACAGAATTCCTAGTTAAATATAAAGAAAATTCCTTTCTTTATTTTTTTAAGGAGAATTTATACTATTTGCTTACTTATTTTATTTGTAAATAATATATATTAATCTATATTAAAATCAATATTCAATAGTTAATCATTCATGTAATGTAATCTCTACAAAACTAAATAACACCTAATTAACTAATACTCGCATAACTAATAGCCACATAACTAAACCCTGCATAACTAATACTTGCATAACTAAACCCTGCATAACGAATACCTACATAACTAACCCCTGCGTAACTAATACCTGCATAACTCTAACGGCCCCTTAGTATTTACACTCCGCAAAAAGAATGAGATGGTAAAACTAAAACTCACTTTTGAGAAGATATGGTCTAAAGGATCTCAAATGACCAATAGATCTTTATTAGGAAAGATCTGAATGGACATATGGGTAGACCAAGTGATAGTTTAGACCAAGGACAAGGACCATTTGGTTATGGTATTTCGGATAAAGAAAGGAAGGTACTCTAGAGTTGGTCTTCCGTTATGATTTAGTTTTAGCTAATTTTTACTTATTACACGCAAAAAGAAAGGTTATAATTTTGCTAAGAAAATTGATACAAATTTACTGAGAAGGAAGAATATCACCACGTCATGATTCATGTCCATTAACTTAGAAAGACATATGATAATGTGCAAAAAGAAGTCCTTTGTTGGGTACTTGAGAAGATAGGAATGAATTTCAAATAAATAAATGACATACAGGATATATGTGAGAGAGCACTCGCAAGTGTAAGAATAGTCAGAAGAGAGAGTGAAGAGTTTTTCTTATCTATGTGTTTACACCTCAGATTGTCCGTGAGAAAATACTTCTTTATTCTAGTTATAAATGAACAAATAAATGTCATATAGAATGAGATTTCCTGATGCATGCCATAGATGATATTGTTTTAATTGATTAAATAAGTTACGAGTAAATCAAAAGTAGGAATCACAGAGAAACACTTTAGATAGTAAGATTTTATAATAAATATCAATAGTCAGTGATTTAGAATAAGTAGAAGAAAGGGTATCTGTGATGCAAATCTAGTCCCGTTTGAGAGGAATGATGCTCAAATAAGATTATATGTGAGTTATAATGGTGCCTAACGATCATTTCAGATATCTAGACTTAATTTTCCAGGAAAGTGACTTCAAAAACATAACATATAATTTAAATAGAACAATTAAATGGACTGTTGAGTGTCATGCGGTAGAAAAATACCAAAAAGTGGAACCAAGCTTTATAGAATGTTGTGAGACCAGTAATGTTATATAGAAGTAAGAGTTGGACCTCTAAAGCTCAACACACCGGTAAGATGAATGTCAAAGAAATGAGGGTGTATGATAAATGTGTAATCATATAAAATTGGACAAAAGTATAATGATAATTGTCGAATGAGTTGACAGATATAGTTATAATCTGCTCCATCAATGAGCTGGCCGATTGATTGCAATTTGCTCCACAAATAAGCTAGCAGATTTGATTATAATCCGCTTCTATAAATATGGGATAGAATATATTATTCTAGGAAAATAGTTTGAAATCCCTTTCAAGGATCTCCTAAGAATTAGGGGTTGATTACCCTTCGGGGTGGCCCAGTGGTTTGAGCTTGGGACTTCCATGTTGGAGGTTTCAAGTTCGAAACCCCTTGCCAGCGAAAGCAAGGGGTTTGCCTTCTGGGTCGAGCTCGTCGCACCAGGCTTGCCTAGTGCAGGTTACCTCTCCTATGTGGTTTGCGAGCTATTGCATAGGAGCAGGGGTTTTACCCTGTGCGCAACCAAAGGATAGCGGTTGCGGGTTTCCCTTGTCATAAAAAAAAAAAAGAATTAGGGGTTGATTAGTTTATTTGATCTTACTTTTTCTCTTATAAATACTGTACAAACGCTATGAATAAAGATATACTTTGCATGTCTAAACTTTCATGGTATCAGAGCGGGACTTTTTCCCCTAGTATCATATGGACAAACCAGCCTTTCATGGAAAGCATCTTTCTGGAACATCAACAGAAGACAAAAGTTCTTCTCTGAAAGCTCCTACAGAAAATCTGATGACACAAGGAGGCAATGCTTCTCACATGCCCTTCCAATCAATTTCTCATCAATTAAATGGGAAGAACTATCTAGAATGGGCACAGTCCGTAAAGCTTGCAGTCGATAGTCGTGGAAAGATAGGACATCTGACCGGAGAGATGTAAAAGCTGGGAGTCGGAGACCTAAAGATGAACTCCTAGAGATCAGAGAATTCACTCGTGATTGCTTGGTTAATAAATTCCATGGAACCAGCCTTAGGTAAATCTCATCTCTTTTGCCACTGCTAAAGATGTGTGTGAAGCCGTTAGAGAGACATATTCTGATGTAGAAAATACCTCTCAATTTTTTTAGTTAAAAATTAAACCATGGCAAGCTAAGCAAAGTGAGAAGGAAGTCATTGCTTATTATAATGAAATGGTGTCTTTGTGGCAGGAGTTAGACCAGTGTTAAAATGATGAATGACAATGTTCTGTGAATAGTGTGAAAGCAAAAAGGGGAAGAAAATGAGAGAGTTTTCCATTTTTAGCAGGATTGAACTGGGAGTTTGACGAGGTCAGGTCCCGAATCCTATGAACAAATCCTTTGCCCTCACTTTGTGAAACCTTTTCTGAAGTTAGGAGAGAGGAAACTAGGAAGAAAGTTATGTTAAAACCTGATTTAAATGTTGAACTAAAACCTGCTATAAACTCTTTAGCTCTTGTAAGAGTGAAGAATGAAGATGACAAAAACAAAAGGTCATGGTGCGATCATTGCAAAAAACATTGGCACACCTGTGAAACATGTTGGAAGATTTATGGGAAACCACTAAACTGGAAGAAGAGAGTTGATAATCGTGGCTTTCAATATCAAAGTGAGCAGGCCATTCAAACAACCAATTTTGATCAGGGCAGCAACCTTCTCCAGAAACGTCTCCATTTACAAGGGAACAACTAGAAATTTTGCACAAACTCCTTCAATCTCCACAATTTCGTCCAAATGCACCAAATTCTTATAATTCTTCTTGTTTTTTTGTTGAAACAGATATTGTATCATCTGCTTTTCTTAGTGTCAATTCCAACCAAACAGATTCTTGGATCATAGATTTAGGAGCTAGTTACCACATGACTGAAGTTCCTGTTTTTTCTCTACTTACACTCCTTCTGCAGGGAACAATAAAAATGTATTTAAGATTTTCTATTTCATGGTGGAAACACAATTCAATGAGAAAATAAAGATTTTTCAGAGTGACCAAAGGTCGTGAATTTTTTAATGAACAATTAGGAAGTTCTTTTCAGAAAAACTGGGTAGTACACCAAAGCTCTTGTTCGGATTCACCTCAACAAAATGGTATTGCCGAAAGAAAGAATAGACACCTTTTAGAGGTAACGAGAGCTTTAATGTTTACTAGTAAAGTTCCACAACACCTTTGGGGAGAGGTTTTCTTGACTGCCACTTACCTTATTCATAGGATGTCATCTCGTCCTCTTGAATTTAAACACCTTTTAAAGTTATCAGAGAGAGTTTTCCTAGTTCTAGGTTAACTACAGAACTGCCTCTAAAGGTTTTTGGTTGTACAACATTTTGTCATGTTCATAATCGTAGTGAACTTGAACCGCGGGCTAAGAAGTGTGTTTTTGTAGTATATGCCCCAAGTCGAAAGGGATATAAGTGTTATGCTCCACATGCTAAGAAGATAATTGTCACAATGGATCTAACTTTCTTTGAGTCCCAACTCTATTTTATCACTCATCTTTAGGGGGGAGTATCATGTAGGTGAAGATTCATCTTTTTGTGATATTGAGGAAGCTAGACATCAGGCAAATGAGGAGCCTAATATTATAACAAATACTGATGTGAGGGATCTAGGAGAAGATATAAATAAGTGTGATCCAAGAGATGAGAGGGACCTAAGTCACTTAAATGATAAGAACTCATAAATTGAACTTGTAGAGCCTTCAAATGACAAAAATAAAAATGGGTAATAGAGAACAAACAAAAGAAATACAAGTGTACTCGAAAAGGAACTGAACTCAAGGAAAAAAGACCGGAGATTCTCAACACTACCAAAAGTCAGTTCCGCAAGACCTTACTGGTATTCAAGGTAATCTTCCAACCGATTCTATTTCTAGCTCCTCAGTTCTGGACCTACCTATTGCAAAACACAAGGTGTTAGAAATGCTCCTAAATATCCTATTTCAATGTTTGTGTCCTATAAAACGTTGTCTCCTAGTTATTCAGCACTTACTTCACAACTTTCTAGTGTGGAGATTCCAAAAAATGTGCAGGATGCTCTACGAGTTCCTGAGTGGAAGCCGTAAGGAGGCTATTTTGGAGGAATTGCGAGCTCTTGAAAAAAATAAGACATGGGAGTTGGTGGATTTAATAGAGGGAAAGAAACCAGTGGGTTGTGAATGGGTGTTCACCACCAAATTCAAATCAGACGGATCCTTAGCAAGGTATAAGGCTTGCCTAGTAGCTAAGGGATTCACACAAACATATGGCATTGACTTTCTCGAGATGTTTGCTCCAGTAGCTACGCTAAACTCAATTAGAGTTTTGTTGACAATCGCAGTAAATCTTGACGGGTCTCTTCAACAGTTGGATGTGAAGAATGCTTTCTTGAATGGGCACCTAGAGGAAGAACTCTATATGGATCCCCCTTCCAGGTTTTGAAGGGAAGTACAAGTCAAAGATATGTAGGCTTAGAAGATCTCTTTATAGTCTAAAATTATCTCCAAGGACTTTGTTCGAAAAATTTACACAAGTTGTAAAGAAGCAAGGATAGGTGCAAGGACAAGCAAATCACACAATTGTTTACTTGACATTCACTAGAAGGAAAACAACAATTCTAATAGTGTATGTCAACGATATCTTCCTCACAGACGATGATGTGGTTGAAAAAAAAAAAAAAAAAAAAATATATATATAAACGTCTTGCCTCAAAATCTGAGATAAAGGACTTAGGCTTACTAAAGTACTTTCTCGGCATGGAAGTTGCACAATCAAATAAAGGAATATTATAGTGTAACAAAGGAACTTGGGGGGAGGACTGGTGAATTACCAACTGTATATTTGGGCATGCCACTAGGAGCAGAAAGCAAGTCTTCAGGAATCTGGAATGAGGTGGTCGAGAAGTGTGAAAGAAGATTGGTGAACTGGAAGAGTCAATATCTCTCCCTTGGCGGGAGACTCACTCTCATCAATAGTGTTCTCGACTCCATGCCTACCTACATGATGTCTATCTTTCCTATCCCATATGGGGTCATTGACAGACTTGATGCAATAAGGAGGAATTTCCTATGGGAAGGAAATAGTGACACTAAGAAATTCCACTTGGTTAAGTGGGATGAATTGATTGGGAGCAAACAAAAAGGAGGTCTTGGGGTAAGGAATTTGAAGATTCAGAACCAAAGCCTTATGATGAAATGGCTATGGAGACTAGCATCCAGTGAACAAGCACTATGGAAAGAACTTATCAAGCAGAAGTATGAAATGGAGGATCACTGGTCTACCAAAATGGTCACTAGTACTTATGGAACTAGCATCTGGAGGGCCATCAGAAACTTTTGGCCAAAATTAAGAGAAAATTGCAGCATTAGAATAGGAAATGGCATGAAGGTCTCCTTCTGGGAGGACAGCTGATTAGAACAAGGCTCCCTAAAAACCCTCTTCCCAGATATCTACATTCTGAACCAACAACAAAAAGACACTGTGGCTAAAGTTTGGTCAAATCAAGGATGGAATTTGAGTTTTAGAAGGCCCCTAAATGATTGGGAGATCCAAAGACTAGTAGATTTCTTTGGAATCCTTGAACAATTCAAAGGAACCTCTACCTCCCAAGATGGATTGATTTGGAATCATAACTACAATTGAAATTTTAGTGTGAAGGAAGCTTACAAAAAGTTCAACTCTTTCACCCATCAGGTTACTGGTTGGCCATGGAAACTTATCTGGAAAGTTAAAATACCTCCTAAAGTGTCCTGCTTCACTTGGCTACTAGAAAGGCAGGTTGTTTTGACTCAGGAGAACCTCATAAAAAGGGGTATCCAACTGAGTCCTAGGTGTTTCCTGTGTGGAGAAGAGGCTGAAACAATCAATCACCTCTTTCTTCACTGTAGGATCACTAATATTTTGTGGAGCATTTTCATCAATTCGAAGGGCCTACTTTGGGTGATGCCAAGAAATATTGTCCAGGTCCTGAAGATATGGAGTAGCTTTGCCTACATTTCTGGTCATAAAGAAAGATGGAAGATCATCCCCACCTGTATCTGGTGGTCTGTGTGGAAAGAGAGGAACCTCAGATGCTTCCAGAACAAAAGTAACAGCATCCAGAAGATGAAGATGAATTGCTTGGTTTTATTTCATTTTTGGTGTAAACAGGAGTATATGGAAGATCTAGAATCAGTAATGAATGCTTTAGGCACCTTGTAATTTTTGTTATTTAGGATTGAAGATCTTCCTGATACTCTCCTTTTATTTGTAATTAGTAAACCTCAGGTTTTATTTTTTGGAATATAATACTAGACTGTTACCTTCTCAAAAAAGGAAGTATGTTCTTGATCTGCTAAAAGAAACAAGAATGAGTGGTTGTAGACCAACTAAAACTCCAATTGATCTAAATCTAAAGTTTGTAAAGGAAGGAAAATTGATTGATAGGGGCCAGATCAGAGATTGGTAGGGTAAGTTGATTTACTTGTCACATACTAGACCTGATATTTCCTTTGTTGTGATCCCAGTAAGTCATTTCATGCATGCACCATGAGAAGAATACCAAGAAGCTGTGTATCGAATCTTAAGGTATCTAAAGAGTTCTCCTGAAAAAGGGTTGTTCTTTAAAAAGAATGAGCAAGGAAGTATTGAGGCTTATATGAATGCAGATTGGGTTGGTTCATCTATTGATAGAAGGTCTACATCTGGATATTGTACCTTTGTTTGGGGAAATTTAGTGGCATGGAGAAGTACGAAGCAAAATGTGGTAGCTCGAAGTAGTGTTGAGGCTGAGTATCGATCCATGGCACACATAATTTGTGAAATGTTGTGGCTCATGAGATTTTTGGAAGAACTAAGAAGACATATGAGTTTTCCAATGAAGTTGTATTGTGACAATGAAGTCTGACAATAAAGCATGTTGAAGTGGACAAACACTTCACTTCATTAAAGAGAAGATTGAAGATCGAAGTGTGTGCATTCCTTTTGTTCCAAAAACTGAACAAGTTGCAGTTATTTTCACAAAAGGTCTTTTCAGGACTACTTTTGAGTCCTTGTGAGCAAGTTAGGCATGTTCGGTATTTACATGCCAACTTGAGGGGGTGTCGAATGCGTAGGCAGATTTAGTCACAATCTGGTCCATCAATGAGCTGACAGATTTGATTGTAATTTGCTCCACAAATAAGCTGGCAGATTTGATTATAATCTGCTCTTGTAAATATGGAATTGAATATATTATTCTAGGAAAATAGTTTAGAGGAAATCCCTTGATTCAAGGATCTCCTAAGAATTAGGGATTTATACACTAGTTTATTTGATCTAACTTGTTCTCTTATAAATATTGTATAAACGCTATGAATAAAGCTATACATTTGCAGTATCTAGACTCTCAATATTTTCTGGCAAGGATCACGAGTACCCACAAGAAGGGAAAGTTGTAGAGATATCACTTGAGTAGGTTTGATCATGTCCTACATAGACCTCCAAATGTTCAAGTCATAAATGTGACACTGATAATTGAAGGAGTTTTATCTCAAAAAAAAAATTAAAAAAAGGAGTTAAAACCAGAATGGAGTGAACCTCTAATTATATGAAACGAAGTAGTCAAAAAAGAACTACAATCTCTCGAAAGCAAGAGGACTTAACTAAGAACAAAGTACAAGAAAAAAAAGGATACACATACATCATACCTATTATTTAAACTTAAAACATAGCTCACAAGTGACTCTCAGAGATACTCGAAATTCCGTAAGCAACTTAATAGATTCTCACCATTTCACTCAGAAAAATTACTATCCTAGGATGCAAAGGCAAACATATGTAAATAAAGATAGATTTTGCAAGGAAAATTACATTAAATTAAGGGCATTAGTAATACAACTGGCTAACTTACAAAGTTCCAATTCTATTGACAAAAAGAACAATTGATATTGGAGGGTTTTTGATAGTTTACCTGAAACTTGTCGACCAATTGAGAGATCTGAAAGGTAAAGGATGCGTACAAAACCTGAACCATGAAGGCCACAGCTGGCCTACAAGCTACATGCAAGCACTCATTGTCCACACAAACACACACATCTTTAGGTGAAGGCCTAACTTTTCCACTATACAAATAGGCGAGCACACTGACCACCGCATCAAAACTGACCTCATACTCTTTCATCAGCTCCTTGAGTTCCAGCTTCGTCTTCCTATCTTTCCCACAGAATATATTCTTAAAAAAAGGACTCCTCGCTGACAAAATGCATCGGTGCACCGGAATTTCCTTACTGCCTGGAACCACAAGCTTAGCGTCAGCGAAGAAGTCGAAATCCGGCGAAGACGCATCGAAGATAGACTCTAGTGTTTCTGATAGACGTTTGAGGGAATTGACGTCTGCCGGTGAAGTTTCCGATTCGTTCATGCCGCCAATGCAGCATATACTACTGCTTCCACTAATATCATTCGAATCCGAAAAAGCAGTCCTACTATCCATTACAGCATACGTTCTGTATGTTTGTGGGAGAAAGGGGAAATAGAGGGATCATTAGGAAGAAAGAGCCATTGAATTTGGGGAGAGAAAAGAAATTGAACAAGGGATAGCTAGCTAGTTAGGAATTATATGAGGAATTGGGACAGAGAAAAAGGGAAAAGAAGAGGAGAAAGCCATGGAAATGGAGGTATTGTAAAACAAAGTTTGCCATTTTTCTCTATGTGAAAACAGCTAAAGTCTTTTTCGTTTTGCCAGAAAAAAGTCAAATGAAAGAACAAGGCAGCTCTTGAAAATGTAAGCAACAATCAATTTTAAATAAATTTTTTATTTAGTTAGTATTTTTAAAATAAATTATTCATAATTTATTTTTTAGAATCTAAAAAATACTAGACATCAATTAGTAAAATGATTATATTAATTATTATTTTTTAATTAATATATTAAATTTAATTGTGAAAAATAAAAGTGAACAAGGAAGTAACTGATTTTAAACAAAAAATTATGACCTATAAGATCTTAAATTTATTTGAGAAATGATTTTTCTTTTATTAAAAAGTCAAATAAAAATCCTATCCGATGAGAATACCATTTCAACTTTGCATATTTATATTTGCAATTGTCGAAACGTCAGATAAAATTAGTTGAAGTTTGTAGGAGCAATTAATACTCCTTTTGTCCCTTTTACGTATTTTTTAGTTCATTTAAAAAAAAAGAATATTATGTTATTATAATTAGAAATAATTTAATTTTAAAATTAATTTTATTCTTAATAAATAAATTTTAGGCATATAAATATCTAAATATTATTTTAGACCACAAATTTTATTTTATTTTTTCAAATATCATGTTAAATTAAAAAATTCTTTATTCAATAATACTTGTCGACTATTGACTTTGCATACTTCTTAAGAAACTATAAATAGAATGGTGATTTTATTATATCACCCTTTGAATATAATAAATACAACATCTTAAAAAATATAATACAAAAATGACTATAATTAATGATGAAAGTAAATTAAGAACTAAGTATAGAATTGTTCATTGATTTAATAAAATAAACAAATATTGTTAAACATCTCAAAATAATATAGTGAACAGTTTTCGACGAAGAAACAAATATAAAAAAAGACAAAAAAAAAAAAGAAGAAGAAGAAGGAAGTAAGGAGAAGGAGGTGACGAGTGAGGATGATGTGAGAAATAGTAGAGAAGAGAAAGTGTCCACATTAACCTCATCAATTTACGTGTTTTTTTCAAGCACAAGCAAACGTTGCTTACGTCCCTCATCCCTCCAATCACCACCCTTTGTCTTTATCTTTATCATCACTTCACATGCCATTTTAATATTTAAATGGAGTTGTCTACGTAAGAAAAAAAAATAAACCATTACCCACAAATATTTATTAATAATTGCCTACCCTACTTCAGTTTATTAATTATTTAGCCTCTGTTCATGTAATGTGGACCTACTTTACTTGCCAACTCGCAATTAATAAAATGACTTTATTCTATTTTGACTCTCACTAAATTGATTCATTTTCTTCTTGAAAATGGTGCAACTTGAGAGGCAATTCAAATAAATGAGTATATCTATGAGAAACTTGCTAATAATGGGTGAAAACGCCACGACCCCTTGCGCACCTTCAATACATATGGGGTAGTTTTGTGTAAAGATGAAAATGCATATGGGGTCAAGCACCCTCAGGGTGAATATGTTTTGAATTTTTTAAGGATTTGATATTTTATGCATCTTCAATACTATTTTCATCCATCAACCTTTGATAAGAAATGAGAGAACATGTATGTAGTTTTGATGATTGGTAAAGTAAACGGGAAGTTATATGGTGTGGGCTAGGGATGTATGGTGCATTGTTTGTCATCATCAAAAAGGAAAAAATTGTTGGGAAATAATAGAATAAGTATGTAGTTTTGATGATGGGAAAAGGGACAGATTTACCCCCGAACTTTAATAAATGGTACGTATATGCCCTCCGTTATACTTTGCGTCCACATAAGCCCCTGCCGTCCAATTATAGGTACACATATACCCACCTCTCTCACTAACGGATCCCTATTTTTTTACACGTGTCTTAATCCTATTGAACTACCCGTTTGACCCCTTTTTTTAACCCATAACTTAACTATCTGCCCCATAACCCAATACCCACCCAATTTCCTCTAAAATGAATCATAATTAAAATACCCAAATTAATCCTATTGGTCCCCGTGCATCCCAAATTAACAGTTCCCCACGTCATCCCTTCTCGCCGACTCACAATTAGTGAACTCCGCAACCTTACTTCCCCTGTTCCCCATACCTTTGCACCCTTCTTCCCCATTACAGTATTTTGGTGGAAACGAACAGGGGCGACGACGATTTCGTCACTATTGATGGAGTTCGGGTTTTCGATCCGAATCTTTTTGTCGGGTCGAGATTTGTTGTTCATGGGTTAGATGGGATTCTTCTCACTGGATTCAACAAGTATGAGGACACTCTGAGCCAGATGGGGAAAAGGGTTTTTTGCACCGGAGAAAGTGGAGCCCTTCGCTCATAAATCTGGCTGGCATTCTGCGTTGGCGGTAAAGAATGGGGGTTTTTCCAGAGTTATGAGGAAGCATCGGAAACTGCAGTATCACCGGATTTGGAAGAGTAATTACAGTATCCAGCGTAACGGCGGAGAAAATGATTTCTAGGGGCATTACTGTAAATCTCAACTTTCTGCAGGGGTAAAACTGTCTTTTTTTCGAGGATATTCAATATTGTACAGAAATGGAAAATAGTGAGAAATTATATTTTCTCTTTTACTCGAATATTCACAATTGTGAAATATCAATGAAAATGAATATAATTGTTCTGTAAATTTCCATTTTGGCGATGAAATTACTCTATTCTTTCACTTCATTTTTGTTGTTTTGTATAATTTTCCACCATATATTTTTAAGCATTAATATGAATAAATAATTCTTTAATTTCAACTTATCACAAAATTTTAAAAACACGTTAATACATTATATGACACGTTTTTCATTTAAGTTACACAATTCAAAAATCGGGTGGGGACCAATAGTATTAATTTGGGTATTTTAATTATGATTCATTTTAGAGGAAATTGGGTGGGTATTGGGTTATGGGGCGGATAGTTGGGTTATGGGTTAAAAAAAGTGGTCAAACGGGTAGTTCACTAGGATTAAGAGACGTGTTAAAAAATAGGGGTCCGTTAGTGAGAGGGGTATATGTGTACCTATAATTGGACGGTAGGGACTTATGTGGACGCAAAGTATAACAAAGGGCATATACATACCATTTATTAAAGTTCGGGGGTAAATCTGTCCCTTGTCCCTTTGATGATTGACAAGGTGAACTTGATTTACTACTTATTGTCTAATGAACTAAAGTTTTGGCAAACTGCATTGCCCCAATTGTACATGCAATAGTGAATGCTCCTAGATCTTCCATTTATTGCACTAGAGAGTTTGAATCTAATCGCACTACAATAATGTATACCTTCGATTGTGTCTCCGCTTACTTCTCTTTTCTTTGTGAACAGGTCTTTCATAAACTGTCCATATCCTAGCATTTGTTTCAAAGCCTCCACTAATGAAATATTAATTGATAGTTTCTTAACATTGATATAAACTTCTTAAACTTTTCATCTTCTTTCCTTTTCATCAGCCTTTGAAGGAATGGAGGAAGACATTTTGGCCTTGGAATAGCGATTATTGAAGCGTCCTTGCTTCTTAATATTTTCTCTTCTTGCTCGTGAGATGTTTTATTCTGTTATTTTTCATGTTTGTCCTCTCTAGGTTCAAGATCAATATGTTGATCCTCTCTTTTACTTGTTTCCTCATTTGTAGTTGAATCATCATATGGTTGGACTCTCTGTATAGTATCATTTTCCATCACTTACACTCATTCCTCCACCTCTCGTGGCCACTCATGCACTTAATGTTATTGTTGCAATCTCGAAGATGACTATCTTTCATTGTTTGGCCCAGTGATGATGAGATTAGGTTCATCAGAGTTTCTATATGCTTTATGGTTGTGGAGTGAGTATTCATGATTTGTCTCATACTTACTACATCATTATGCATTTGGTGCATAATACTATATGTTGACTCTACCTTTGTTAGTACAAGGGACAACATATCTTCCATTTTAGAACTAGTAGGGTGAATTTGAAGTTTGCTCTTGAAAGGAATATGAGGTTGTACACCTCTACTTCTGAAGATTTTTCTCTGTGATTCTCATATATACATTACTGATATTGTCCCTAGTTCAAACCTTGGTTCCCATAGTCATATTGTCAATACCCCTTAGCCAATCCTTGGGAGTAAATCTGATAGACTTCCTATTGATGTCATACGACTATGGGTTGGTAGCTGACATTGCTTTACAATGGGGGCATTAAACCTCCACTACTAGTTGGAAACATTACTTTCAACATCACCAGCACGATGTTGTATTTACTGGGTTTGAAGGTTTTATTCATTGGTTTACCTCTTAAAGACCTGAATAAACATTTAAAGACTTTGCAGAGGTATGTCTAGCTTACAATCTCCTAGATATCTCTCAAGAAGGAATAAGGTTGTTTCTATTCTCTCTGACTAGTGAAACAACTACATGGCTTGGAGAGTTACCAGAAGCCGTCACTACCTAGACTGAACTTATAGGGATACTCTTGGAGAGGTTCTTTCCTCCAAGTAGGTATATCTAATTTAGGAATAAGATCAGCAAATTCAAACAAGTCCCAAGTGAAGCACTCTACGAACTTGGCAGAGATTTAAAAAAGGGTAATTTGTGTTTGAACCACAAGCTACAAAATAAGATGTTGCCAGAGAGTGTACAGTTTGTTAGACACAGTCAACAATTCTGTGGTCAATAATATTGTAGAGAGTTCACTAATGGACCACACTTATGAGGAGACTAGTGATATGCTTGAAAGGATGATTAAGATGAACATGACTTGACATAGCCTAGAAGCTAAGGTGGTAAGTAGTACATTAACCTACACTAACTATGTTGCACTTCAATATCTAATGACAAAAAAAGATGTAAAGCCTCGATTAATTCTATGGGTGTTACTATTGCAAGGGTTTGACTTTAGAATTAAAAAATCAATGAGGGTGTAAGTTCTTCTTTTTCCTAAAATTAGAAATTGGTTACTGTTTTTCAATTTGGATTTTAAAATTTCATTTTTTAAAATACAATTTTAAAATAAAAGGAAAATTGTTAAATAATAATTTATCTATATATAATAGGAGAAGAATGAACAATATACCTTTGCCTC